TGTTAAACAAGGGAAGCTTGGGGTAAGAGAGGCAGCACGACAATTTAGAATCGACAAGTCCAAGCTTAGTAGGTCGCTTTACAACAAAAATAAGTCGAAACAAGGTAGAAAGCAAGCCTTATCAGTGGATCAAGAAGCTGATCTAACCAGGGGGGTGACAGTGAAATAGGAAAATTGGAAACAGTCATTAGTGTCATTCCTGTCATTCTCCTCACGACAAGTATGGCCGCCTAGACAAGGACAGCATTGTTTTTGTCTAACTATTGTCTAACTTCACAGTTTAGAATTGACAGATTTCAGTTTCAGAGACAACTTCAGATTTGTTCTAGAACAAATTCGAAAATATTCGACGCCATTTTAATTCATTCCGTTTAGTTTCGTTTTGGAAGTTCAATTTAATATTTCGGCTGAAATTTATAAATATAATGGTAATAAAGTATATATAATATATATTACATAAAGAATCCTGGAGAAAATGACGTTTCTGCAGTAGTAGGTATGTCCCATGTATATGAAAAATAGGTAGTAAATAAACACTGTTTTTACATTTTTTAGATGCAAGAAAATGGTGTTATAATATCTTTGATCGGCGATTTTTCTGAAAATGGAAGCAATTTACAGCAAGGTAAGATCATTTTTAACTATAGCCAACATTAGTTATCTCCAGTATGTGCGATTTATCGTCAATAATGCAATAAATCGGACTGATAATCTGATTATGTTATCCGACTAAAAGTCTCTTTTTGCTTCTTTTTGATTAATAAGCCAGGCCTCTTTGGGAATAATGGACGCTTTTTTAAACAGTATATTTATATTTTATACCTATTGATATTTTTACATTGTTAATTTTAGTATATAAAAAATTGTTTTTCTGTTTTCAGGTTTTTGTATAAGGCTCCCGTTTTCATGTTCCTGTGTCCGTTTTCTGCCCTTGAAGTCTGCGAATACGTGTGTTTATTTACAAATTACTGTAAGTCATGCTTATACCTTAACTAATTTACGTTAAAAGTACATATAATTAACTAATTGGTATTGAAACAATACAATCCTCTATATTTTTATATTTATTTAGTCACGTTGTTCCATATTTCAAATAAATAGATGTGAATAAATAATTTTTTGGTTTTATTTATGAAAAGAAAAAATACAAAATACATTTGAACTGAAAGAGGACCCGCCATTGTATAACCGGAAACGGAAATGAGAATTAAGCCATCATGTCCTTATCATGTCAACCTGTCAATTGGAAAATTAGTTCTCCAGACGACAACGAAGGCTTTCGGTGGCGTATCATGTTTCCGCGATTTAACACAGAGTTGACACTTCTTTCTAGTTAATTATTTTATGGATCTAACCCAAAAGATCACCGTGATGGCTAAATGGGGATTTGCTCTATCCAAAGAAGAAATTAATCGTGTTGTTCAAACTTACGTCAATGAAAATAATTTAAAACCCGTTTTTAATAATGGAAAACCCGGAGATGACTGGTTTCGGACGTTCTGCAAAAGAAATGGACTAAGTCAAAAAAAGATGGAACAGTTGGAAAAGTGCCGAAGAACTGCAACCAGTGACCCCTTTATCATCTATTCCTTTTATGATAAACTTGGGGAAACAATTAAGAAACTGGGATAACAAGATAAACCCTCACATATATTTAATCTAGACGAAACTAGTTTTAATTTAGATCCCGGTAGAGTAAAGGGCGTCTCAGCGATAGGTAAGTTAGGATTGTAATACTTAAACTATTTTTTAATCTAATCCACTTGTTTTGGATAGGACAAAGGGTTCATCGGAGTATCGAAGGTTCCGGAAAAGAAAATGTTACAACAATGGCCTGCATTTCGGCAAACGGAGATCTCTTGCCGCCCTTAATAATATATGAAGAACAAAATTTATGGAGCACTTGGAAAGGAACGCAAGACATTGAAAATACATGCTATGCTGTATCCGACAAGGGATGGATGACAACAGCGGTTTTTAATTCTTGGTTTCAAAAGTTCTGCAAGATGGTCCAGCAAAGACCCCTTCTTGTTATAATGGACGGGCATGTTTCTCACTTGGATACAGGGACCATAGAGCTTGCCATCCAGAATAACATTACCTTATTTAAACTACCACCACATGCGACTAACCTTTTGCAACCATTAGACAAATGCTGTTTTGGACCTTTAAAATTAAAATGGAATCAAAAACTTATAGAGTGGCAAAGATTAAACCAAAGGAAGCTCACCAAATGTGAGTTTGCAAATATGATCTGTGAACTATGGAATGAGGGAATTTCACGAGATGTCATAAAACGATCGTTTGAAACTACTGGTCTGTATCCCTGTTCTAAGGAAAAATACCCAAAAGAAAGACTTAATGAAGTGAAGCTAAAAAGATATAACGAATGTGCACAACGAGATACTGTACTAAATAGTAGTATGTATAATTTAAATGCCGAAGAGGCTGAAATTGAAACAGTTGAAGAACCTAATAGAGAAGATAAACACAGAGAGGGAGAAGAAAAGATAACAGAACCCGAGGAAAACCAGATAATAAATGAAATTAATTTGGCATCCACATCAAATATTTCAATCGCGGGCACAGCTTCATCGTCCACCACGTTCGAAGAAATTTTGCTTGCCAAAATCAATAAAACAAATCCTGAGACTAAGACAAGACGTAAGATTAATTCAAACTCTGCGGTTCTTACGAGTGCTGAATATTTAGAAAGCATTAAACAAAAAGAAGTCATTCAAAAAGGTAGAGTTCAAACAAAAAAGGTACAAAAGAAAAATATTCAAAAAATAGATCGAGTTCCAAGTTCTTCCTCAGAAAGTGAAGCCGAAGGCATTATTCTTCAAGACGAAAGTGATGTGGATGATATGACGTTAGCTGATCTAGTTGAATCCAATTCAGATAACGAATTTGACACCTGCTCAAATGAGATACATTCCGGAGACTATGTTTTAATAAAGTTTGCTACAAAAAAGAAACTGGTACATTACGTTGCGTTAGTAGAAAATATCAAGGGAAGTGAGTACTGCGTATCGTATATGCGTCGACAAGTGAACAAATTTGTATTTCCCACCGTGCCTGAAAATTATAATGTGGACAAAGACGATATTGTAATGAAATTACCCTCCCCTAGTTGCCAAGGAGGAACCGCTAGAATGTCCCAAAAGCTTGCTTTTCCGATAGACTTTCAAAAGTTTTCTGTTAATTAGCTAAATGTTTTATTATACTTACCCTACGTTCTATTTTTTAAGTAGAATTTACTTATTAGTTTACTTTGACTTGTTTTGTTAAACAGTATTATGAGATTTTTCCCATTTTTTGAAATTAAAACAGTACAAATTAATAATTCACAAAATGTTGTGTGTCTTATTTTTATACTTACCTGTATCAGTCTTTCCCCAGATCGAATAATATGATGGAAACCTTCGTTTTACACCCTGTCTCATTTTTTTCCAAGCATGTCTTATTTTTGCCCCAACGACAGGAAAAAAATGAGACAGAGATTTATTTTTTTTTATTAAAGAAATACTTGTTTTTATGACATTTGGTGAATATAATGTAATTTCCCGTGAAATTTTACCCACTTTAGGTATTTTTTTATTTACTTTAAGGTTTTTTTAATGGGAAAAAAATAAAAAGATATGTAAAATGTCCCATTTTTACCCCACCGCGCCCTATGCTATTCAAATTTTAGAGGAGCAACGGGCGAGCTACGTTGAAACACCGGTTCCCGATAGATCACCGAAGTTAAGCAACGTTAGGCGATGCGAGTGGATAGACGGGTGTCCGTCTAGAGACTCTGTCGTGCTGTTGTTCCATGGCAAAAGTGTAAAATCTATTGACACACACTGCTCATTCACGCCTGTTTGGGCGGTTCGATTCCTGGATGAGGCCGGATATCTCGTGAGTAAGAGACGATTTAGACATTCGCCGAGTCGGTAAGCCATTGACAATAATATGGCTGAGGACCGCGGTTCGGATTCCGCGTAACTAGACTACTAGAGAATATCTAAAAACTGAAGTAGTATATTTTTAAACAAAAAATCTCAAACAATCAACATTATTAAATAAAAAAAAATAATAAAAATTATATAAAACAATCAAATCAAAATTCTATAACCGTATATCTAGGTCTACCGGGCGCGTCTCGAAAGTGGCTCACCTCTATAACTTTTTTTAGTTTTTCAGATAAAAAAACGAGATTTGCTATGTTCGTATATGACATAAATTAGGATTAATTGACGTATTCAATTGTTTTTGGTCACTTACTGTTTTATCGGAAATGGCTAGGTACAACTTTTGATTTTTAAATGACACCCTCGGTATTTTTTTACTTTATTCGATAGAAAATGACACCCTGAATAGAATGACATATCATATGTCAACTTTTGATATTTTCGCTTTAAAAAAATCGTATTTTAAATTTCAATCTACAGTGCCATGGCTGTGCTAAAACATTCATTTTTAATCATGGAGCCTTGGAAAAATAGATTTGATCGTCTAATGTTTTTCGTGTCCTGTCCTGGCGGGTTAAAAGATGCCCAAATCGTATTTTTAATAATATCTCATTTTTTTCAAATGGGACAAGGGTGGCACACTAGCGTATTTGGAAAAAGCATTTTTTATGAATAATTTGGTACCACACACTTGGTATTTCGAGTCAAATTGTCGTTATGAACCGCACGTTACAATTTCAAATACAACCATATGCAAAAATGTCAAAAGTTGACATACGATATGCCATTCTATTTCAGAGTATCATTTTCTATCCGATAAAGTAGAAGAAATATGCCGAGGGTGCAATTTAAAAATCAAAAGTTGTAGTAATATCCGGTGAAACAGGAAGTGACCAACAACAATTGAATACACCAATCAATCCTAATTTGTGTAATATACTAACCTACCAAATCTCGTTTTTTATCTGAAAAAATAAAAAAGTTATAGGTGTGAGTCACTTTTGAGACGCACCCGGAATATTATATTTTTAAAATTTTACATACCTTTTTTAATAAAGCGTCGATTTCCACATTATCTTGCTCTACACGTTCAGGGGCATTTTTCATATACATTTTGCTGTCGTGAACAGAACTGTAGAGGCGATTGTTCAAGTGATCTCTTTCTACGTTAATAACGGCCAATTCTTCTTTGGCTTTTGTTAACTGCGTCTGTAAAGTATTTATAGTAACTTGTTGTAATTCGAGTTGTTCCCTCAGAGGCGTAACACTTGTCATATAGTTAGCTATTTCTCGTTCGTGGGCTTCTTGAAGAGCAGTTAACTACAAAAAATAGAGAGGTATACAGGGTGGCGACAATTTCGATGCTCAACATTGGCATCTCAGGAAGTAAGAGAGATACGAAATCGGTTAAATGGGACAAAAGTAGCGTAATTAGAAGTTTGACAAACACCTATGAAGAAAACCCCGGTATCTTGATTAGTTTCGGATTTATCCTAAAAAACGAAAATAATACGCTTATTTTAAATGAGAATATCTTCAGAATATCTATCGCAACGTAAGTTGGTAGTTTTATATTTTTGACCTCGGCCAATTAAATGTCGTGTTCAGAAAATTTCTAAACCTTCTAGATTTTGCACAACAACAGTGAAGTTATTGGTTTCTTATGGTCGCCATTTTGTATTTTTAAACTATTAGATAGAGCGAAAAAAAGTTTATACGGTGGTATCTAATTTTTATTCATATTATTATGTAAATTCACTAAAAAATAGTTCTATTAAAAATTCGCAAGATCAAGTCTGGCTTGGAAATCCAGTTGACACTTTATATGTCAGCAAGTTATTTTTTGTTTATTCTATTAATTGTCAATTCTCGACGCACAAAAATTGTATAGCAGAGCTCAATACAGGTTAATACAGAACCTAAAATTTTATTGCCAAGAATGCCAGCCCAGATGCCCAAAGAATATCTTATTTGTGATCTGGATGTAATTTTTTTTTCTGCTAAATGTACCAGAATTTGTAAATAAAAGCTTTGTTCGGGTTCTTGTTATTACCGATTCAGAACTGTCCTAGAACTCTACAGCGCATGCGTAAATGAAATAATGTCTTCATATTTCCTTCTGCGCATACGCATCACAATTCTAGGACGGTTCAGAATCGGTAATAAGAGAAACCCGAATTGAGCTAAAGATTCATCCGTCCATAATATTTTTCTAGAAAAAAGGGAAATGAATACTTGAATACTTTCCCGAAACCATTTGCAAAGTTGTAATCGCCTCTCGTGATCACCAGCATGTAAAAAATGTAAACTTGGTACACATTTAAATTAAAAGTTGCGATATTTATGCTTTTTGATAATTTTCCCTACATAAGAATCACTTATACAACACTCGCGACTTATTTTATGGCTAGAAGTTTCCGGATTTATTTTAATCTGAGCTGGCACATTAATATCATTAAGCCTTTTAAAATATAGCCCTCTTGTTTTTTAAAGCTACCGGCAACTGCTAAATTTCTTGAAATCCTTGCGAAAATATTACGATGAGGCTGTGTCCTTCAGGACTATAATTTGCGCATGCCATATCGGAATTGCTCGTGTTTCCTCACTTGTGAATATTTTGTTGACTGTTAATACACTTTACACTATCTACTATAATTTTTTGTGTCCAGATTTGACTCTTAATAGAGTAAACAAAAATTAATTTGATGTCATATAAAGTGTCAATTGGATTTCCAAGGCAGACTTGATCTTTTGAGCGAATTTTTAAAAAAATCTAATTTTTTTGGTGAATTTACATAATAATGTATAAATATTAGATACCACGGTATAGATTATTTTTTGCTCTATCTAATAATATAATAATCCAAAATGGCGGCCATAAGAAAACAAGAACTTGACTGTTGTGCGAAATCTAGAAGGCTTAGAAATTTTCTGAAAACGGCATTTAATTGGCCTAGGTCAAAAATATAAAACTACCAACTTACGTTGCAACAGATACAATAGTTCTGAAGATATTCTCATTTATTTAAAATAAACGTATTATTTTCATTTTTTTGGCATAAATCCGAAACTAATCAAGATACAGGGGTGTTTGTCAAACTTCTAATTACGCAACTTTTGTCCCATTTAAACCGATTTCGTATCTCTCGTAGTTTCAGAGATGCCAATGTTGAGCATCGAAATTGTTACTACATTGTGTATACTTAAAAAAATAAATGACATCGGCAGAAACGAGATCGTAAAACGAAATCATAAATATTTTTTAAGTTTTCTGTTCCTAAAATATTCAACAAGGCTAAGTTGTTTCACTGGACACCTTAAAATCTCCGACATGTCCGGGTAAATCCGGACGTATGGAAACCATAGAAATAATATTAAGCAAAACTTACATCATCTAATCTCTTCTTTTTTAATGACTGATAATCTTCCTCTAGCTTGGCAAGTTGGTGTTTCAATCGATCTCTCTCTAATTTCATTTGTTGTATTTCTTCCTCCTTCCGAAAATCTTGTATACTTTCTGATCTCATAGATTGGGATGCCAATTTTTCCGGATAGCTTCTGAAGTCCTTTCTCTCACTTAAGTTTCTTAAACTGCCCTCTCTGAAAATAAAAATGACTGTGAAATTCAGCAGATAAAATCACGGAGAGCTAGGGTTGGGGAGGTAGAAAATTTGATATATTCTACCGTATTTTCTACACCAGCTAATTTTCTACATTTTTTACATGTCCAGACGTAGAAAATTGGTTGTGTATATTGTAAGCTGTTTTTTGAGTTTGTATTTATTTCAAATACTTTAATCGATTTGTACAAGAAACAAACTAATAATGATATCTCTAATCGTTATTTATTATGTAGCAAATATATAGCCAATTTAATAAATATATAGATAGTATACAGGGTGCTACAAATTCGGGGTACGAGCATTGGTATCTCGGAAACCGTAATAGATACGAAGATCAAGGGGCAAAGTTGTTTCTTGGCATGTTTACCAAGATGCAATCAAAAAAGTTTTTACAATTTCGGAGTTTTTCGGAAAAAAACGATTTTTTTTTGAAAATCAATTTTATTTTTTCCTGTCGTTATTTTTTAGAAAATCAAAAAACTAATTGCACATTCTCATAGCCACTTTATTAGGGCTATCTGATGGTATATTTAGATTTTCAAATTAGCTGATAATTTGTGGGATACAGAGGCCAACTTAATTTTTTTAAATACGGACCTGCATTTTTTATATCATGTTTTGAAAGAACTTGGTCTCCTGAGTACAATGATATGCTACACTTGATACTTTTTTTGTTTTGGGTAGTTTAACAATAACAAATCTATTTAATTGTTATTTAAAATAATTTCAAGTCCGACTCTGGTTTTTGAATTATCGATCTGCGCTAATTAACATTGAATAAGGAAAATCAAGCCAATTGAAAGATTCAAATAATTAATATCCAGGTCAGCAATTTAAAGATTTTATTAGTATTTTAATAAAGCACGCTTTTAGATGTTTCAAAAAACTAGCCACTAAACTAGCTCTAAACTTAGTTTTTTGAAACATCTAAAAGCGTGCTTTATTAAAATACTAATATTTCAACGATGTTTCACAAGGAACCAATCACAGCTTCAGTACAATTTATTAAAGATTTTATTTTTAACTTTTTCTATTGTGAATTTGAAATCTCAGTGTACGATCTTATAATATGCATAATATTAATCGTAATTATTATAAATAAATCAACTTCTACAAACTAGTTTCTAATGCTCTACATGTTCGACAGGGTTACCACTCTCCATAATGCACAAATTTATTTTTCGTTCAATTTTATTTATAGCTCTTTGAACATATCTTCTTCTTATACTTCCGAATGCATTTTGTAATAATGCTTTAGCTGTCCTTTATTGCTCGTTAATTGTTTTTGTACTCTAAATGTTGAAATGTATTGATTTCATTTTTACTCCACGTCATTGTTAAGTTTGACAGCTTCACAATATTGTAACGATGAATAGATTAAATATTTAAAAAACAGAGCCGGACTTGAAATTAGTTTAAATAAATTGTGTTCAAATGTCAAAAACAAAAAAGTATTAAGTGTGGTATATCACTGTACTCAGGAGACCGAGTTCTTTCAAAACCTCAAATAAAAATGCAGGTCCGTATTTAAAAAAATTAAGTTGGCCTCTGTATCTCACAAATTATTAGCCAATTTGAAAATCTAAAAATACCATCAGATAGCCCTATAAAGTGGCTATGAGAATTTGCCATTATTTTTTTGATTTTCTAAAATGTAACGACAGGAAAAAATAAAATTGATTTTCAAAAAATCCGTTTTTCCAAAAAACTCAGCAATCCTTAAAATTTTTCAAACTTTTTTGACAGTATTTTAGTATTAACATCCCAAAGCGCAACTTTGCCCCAATTTAACCGTATTTGTATCTATTACGGTTACCGCGATACCAATGCTCGTACCTCGAATTTGTAGCACCCTGTATAGTATGTTAAAAAAAGCTTAACTATTAAGTTCCATATTATTTTAAATAGATATGCACCTACAATGGAAGAATTCGTGACAGTGACAATTGTGTTATTATAATTTACAGGCATATCGTATTTTCTGTAATTTTTTGGATGTTGTCTGTCGAAATCTTCCCTGACTTGTTAGATACACTATAGTCGAAGTTTACAGATATTTTTAATTCTATAAACTTTGCTATAGTATGTTTAACATTTAACAAAAAAGTTTTCAATAGTAAGGCATAGATTTCGGCATCTTTTAATCGGCCAGGACAAGACACGAAAAACATTAGATGAACATATATATTTTTCCAAGGCTACTTGATTAAAAAATAGTGTGATTAAGGCAGCCATGGCACTCTAAATTGAAAATTAAAATATATGTTTTTAAGCGAAAATGTCAAAAGTTGACATATGATATGACATTCTATTCAGAGTGTCATTTTTTATCGAATAAAGTAAAAATATATATCATAGGTGCCATTTAAAAATCAAAAGTTGTAGTCATTTCGGGGGAAACAGGAAGTGACCAAAAACAATTGAATACGTCAATCAATCCTAATTTAAATCATATATACTAACGTACCAAATCTCGTTATGTTATTTGAAAAAGTAAAAAAGTTATAGGGGTGAGCCTTTGAAAAAATTAGACTTTTCTGTATGGTCTTTAGATTAAATAAAAAAAATTCTAATAGTCTTCAGATCGATTAGTGTCTCTTATCTTGAGGGAGTTAGTACCGTCACAGAATAGAGAGATAGGTAGATACGCGCGCACATATTAGAGTTTTAACACTTATAGAATTTAAAGAAAATACCAAGAAAGAAACTTGAAAAGTAAAAAAAAAACGTTTTAAATATATAAAATTAATTTTGTACCTCTTCAGATTTTATACATTTTCCACTTAATATTCTACATTTTCTACGCACTTTTCTAAATACACGTAGAAAATTAATTCTCTACGCGTCGTTACCCAACCCTGCGGAGAATACATTACCTTTCTTTTTGCAACCTTCGGTTTGTTTTCTTACTTTCTTCAAGTTCTTTTTGGAGCTTAACGATGACCTTTTCTTTATTGGACAAATCTGTTTGTAAACCTCTAATTGTCGCTAGTAAATGCGCATCTTCTTTGATAGACTCCCTATCAGACGTTTTCTTTGCCATCACATTTTTCGGCTTAGTTGTCACAGCAACTGTCTGTATTGCAACGCTGAATGTTTCCTTTTGGGGAAGTTTATCTTCAAGAAACGTTTGTGTGTAAACATCGTAAGTATCCGATTTCGTCTTTAATTGGGCTTTTAAATCGCTGACGTGAAGTTCGAGGTCTTCGATGTGACTCTCGTATTTATTTTTCATTTGGTTAAACTTCTCTTGAATATCTAAGAAAACTCTAGATGACTGGGAATCCCTATTGGAAACTTCCTGTTCTAATGTTTTGATTCTATCTTCGAGCAGTCGCCTGGCTGAAAGATTCGTATCCACGGCATCCTCCTTTGCTGCTACTGCAATTTAAAACAGATTTTTTTCAAAATATCTCTGATGATACACGATTTGATACACGTCTTCCATGCATTAAAATCCCTATTTTCATATACAGGGTTGTTCACCACGTACAACACGGAGTATTGTAGCTAAACGATTATATTTTTACAAATTGTAAGTTTTGGATTTATTGAAGGACTATTGGAGCTACAATTTACAAAATATTTTTACAATATACAGAGTGTCCCAAATAAGTAAAAAATATTATAGTTGTATTTTTTTTAAATGGAACACCCTGTATATTATTCTATTATTAGATTCCAGGATTAAAATAAAGGTAAATTTGATTAAGGTTTATCACACTCTTTTAATAATAAAAGTAAATATAAATATTTACTGAAGTTTATTTATTGATCAGATATTGTATTGCAATAATAAACAAAATGCTACCTTATACAGAGTGTCTAAAAATTTATATTAAATAATTACTAGCTTTAAACGGCAATAACTTGTTTAATTTAAATGGAACACTCTATATATTTTACGAGAATCAGATACACAATTTAGTTGTCTATCAAATTGTATTATACCATTTTTTACCTATCTTTTCAAGTTTTTGTAGAAATTTGCATTTTCTTGAATATCGACATTTTAGATTATTTTTAAAGATGTAACAAATTTTCAATTTTATATTGATTTCTGAGTCAAATCCACAATTTATTTAGAATAATTTATTAAGTAAAACGATTCAGTACCAATGTAATTAACTAATTTTTCGGCGGAGTTAATGGTGGTATATTTAATTGGTATACTCTTTTACATGGGCGCCGGAAGAATGAAGTTTAGGGGGGGGGGGGCAAGGTAAAAATAAATAAAAAATTGAAATACATTTTTTATTATTTTACAGGTAACACCTAAAAATTTCGGTAATTATTGGGAAAACTGGAAATCGTCCGATTTTCATCAAAATTGGTATACACACTATTTTGAGGTCGTAGATTACGAATCTGAACTTGTTTCTTGGCGGTCTCTTACCGTTTTTCAGAAAAACGGAAAATTATTTCAACATTGAATTTTTCTTTATTTCGACCCTATAAAGTAATAATTTCACTATATTTCCGTTATATTATAGTTTATCTAAAAGCTGCACTTGATTGGGGATAGAAAAATGTCCAAAATTTTACTGAAAAACACTTTTCTTAACAAAATAACAAAGAAAATTGAGACCAGACGGAAGTTTGACATTTGATATATCCTTCTTTCGCTCTCCTATGTAATGAGAGAGACAACTATATTCTAAACCTAATCTAGAAATTTGAAAATTTACAACGTTGCCATATCTTCTATTTTTCGGGTGATTAGGGATTTTAAATAAATTTCCTATTATGACATCGACAAATAATTAAATATACCTACCTATATCCACAAAGTTACGCGGAAGAGTTTTGATTGCATTGGTTTCAACTTCTATGTGGAGGGGGTTAATTTTTTTTTGTTATATTATATTATTCATAACCACGAAGTTGCACGAAAGGGTTTTGATTGCATTGGTTTTAACTTCTTTGCGGAGGGGGTTAATCTTTTTTTGATATAATATAACAAGAAAAGATTAACACCCTCCGCATGGAAGTTGTAAGCAATGCAATCAAATCTCTTTCGTGCAACTTCGTGGTTATAAATAGTCAGTTCTCGTTGGTAAAATAGCAATTATGGGAAGGAGCCGTTCTTCTGGCGACCGCCTTTCGTAATCCCAGAATGAGCGAAAAAATCACGCTAAATTTAGGTTTAGCATTGGCAACGTTGCTTTAAATGCCAGAAACACATAACTCAACATTTTCAGATTGTTTACAAATTTATTTTAGCAAATTTTCCTCTATTATGCATAGAATTGGTTAAAAAAGTAACAGAAAATAGCAATAACATCATTGTTTATTGAATACCTAACAAAATATGTGCTAGAAAACCTTAAAAATATGAGAAATTAAGAAAAATTCGATGTTGAAATAATTTTCCGTTTTTCTGAAAACCGGTAAGAGACCGCCAAGAAAAAACTTCAGATTCGTAATCTACGACCTCAAAATAGGGTGTATACCAATTTTGGTGAAAATCTGACGATTTCCAGTTTTCCCAATAATTACCAAAATTTCATAATAATGATTATTTTTTTACAGATGGATGTAAAAAGATAGCTTTTATTTTTACTGTTTCAGTGTCCAGGGGGGGAGGGGCAAATGCTCCCTCTTGCCCCCCCTGTCCGGCGCCCATGCTCTTTTACAAAGATTTAAATACTTAGTTTTCTTTTTGTAAACAAATAGGCATGCAAAATTTTTATTTTTACCACCTGTACATTTTGTACATTTTTTTTAAAGCAGCTTAACAGCTTTAAAAGAAATCTAAAATGTCAATATTCCATAGTATAGTGATAAATAAGGTCTAAATTATAAGAAAATGAATTTTCTACGAAAACTTGAAGAGATAAGTAAAAAATGGTATAATAAAATTTGATAGACAATTAAATTGTGCATTTGATTCACCTAAAAAATACAGGAAGTTCCATTTAAATTAAACAAGTTATTGCCGTTTAAAGCTAGTAATTATTATTAAATATAAATTTTTGGACACTCTGTATAAGGTAGTATATTTTTTATTATTGCAACACAAAATCTGATCAATAAATAATCTTCAATAAACATTTAGTATTAAAAACTTTGATACCCTTGAAGAAATGAAGCCTTAAAATTTTTACTGCAATTTCATAAAATTGAAAATACTTCAAAAACGGTAAGGTTTAAGTGTGATAAACCTTAATCAAATTTACCTTTATTTCAATCGTAGAATCTAAAAATAGAATCAAATACAGAATGTTCTATTTAAAAAAAACTATAATATGTTCTACTTATTTGGGACATTCTGTATCTGGTAAAAATATTTTTAAATTGTAGCTGTAATAGTCCTTCAACGAACCCAAAACTTACAATTTGTAAAAATCTAATCCTTTAGTTGCAATTCTCCGTGTCGTGTATGGTGAACAACTCTGTATAAACAAAAACTGTTTTATTTCTTAATTTCCTTCTAGCCGATGCAAAAATTATTTCACACAACAGTCACCGCATCAGATTTTCAGCGATGAAGTAATGGCCCTGAAGTAAACTGACGTTAATTTTTTAAGCAAAAACTATGCGCCGGAAGAAAAAAATCATCAGATAAAAAATGTTTACAAATTAATGGAGATTTTGAAAATAATTTTTATTTTAAGAGAAGTCAGTGGTGTACCACTTTTTTCTCCTAAAATATGGCACTGGTTGAAATAAATAAAATTCTTTGTACACCAAAAAAGGTATTTTGATGCATAGAAGACGTGTATAAAGTTTCCCCCCATAAAGGTATCTATAATAAAATATTATTATGAAAATATTTTTTTTTTAGAAAATTTTAGCACCTTGCATCTCAGAAACTAAGATGTTTAGGACTTACATTCATATGAAGTTTTTTTCTTAGAATAGGTCCAAGAATTACCCCCTTAAATATTAGCATGTCAATAAGGAACACCTTGTATAAATTATATACAGTTTGTCAAAAAATAGTGTATCTAACTTCGGTGGATGATTCTACAGATAAAAATAAAACAAAAAGTTCCTATGAACATATGCCCTAAAATGCTCCCCGAAGAAGTTACAGCCCTCGAAAAGGTAAATAAAAATAATGTATTTTGTTTATTTTTAAGAACATTGGTAAACCGTTTTTCTTGAAATTTGGTACACTTATACACATTTTAATGCCGAAGATTTTTTTTACCTTCTTGTAAAAAAGACCTAGCTTTTTATGTCACTTGTTAAAATTACTGTATCTATAAGGATAAAAGAAGTACCACCAATAGTAATATCTGCCCTAATGGAAAGTACCGTACCTTTTCAGGGCTGTTACGAAATTTTACACAGTCGCCATTCTCTCCGGCATTATAATGTGTGTAAAGCCACGTACGAGGTAAGCGAACAAAACGTTCACGAAGATATATATAATTGATACTATATAGCAGCAAGTCGTAAACGACAGCACAGCCCATCGGTACCGAGGACTGAGGTGCGGGGAAGAATGCGACAACCAGTTCACTCTATAGATCTACGAGTAGGATGCGTTTAGGTAGTGGCTGTTTTTTCGAGTGCCCGGCTTAATGTGAGTTGAAAAAATAAATATGGATGACAACGTAAAAATTGCGGCAGCTGCTTTTATTGTATTGGCTGATGCTTGCAAAAAAAGACAAAAAAAAGAAACTCTGTAGCAAAACAAAATTGATGCAAAGCCGAGAAAATTACAGTGCAAGCATGTTATTAAATAACTTAACCGGTAAACAGTTTAAGCCCTCGAAAAGGTAAATAAAAATAATGTATTTTGTTTATTTTTAAGAACATTGGTAAACCGTTTTTCTTGAAATTTGGTACACTTATACACATTTTAATGCCGAAGATTTTTTTTACCTTCTTGTAAAAAAGACCTAGGTTTTTATGTCACTTGTTAAAATTACTGTATCTATAAGGATAAAAGAAGTACCACCAGTAGTAATATCTGCCCTAATGGAAAGTACCGTACCCTTTCAGGGCTGTTACGAAATTTTACACAGTCGCCATTCATTCCGACATTAAAATGTGTGTAAAGCCACGTACGAGCTAAGCGAACAAAACGTTCGTGAACATATATATAATTGATACTATATAGCAGCAAGTCGTAAACGACAGCACAGCCCATCGGTACCGAGGACTGAGGTGCGGGGAAGAATGCGACAACCAGTTCACTCTATAGATCTACGAGTAGGATGCGTTTAGGTATAGTCTATAAAATGAATAACTTTGAATTTTGACCGTTATTTTTTACCAATATGGCAAATATAAAATCCCTCTGTCAAAAAAGTTACTGATATTCTTTAAATTGAGTACCTGAACGAATCAGATAGGTAACTCTTTTTACTTTCGTGAAATAGAAAAGGAAAATAATAAAACAAGTGACAGTTCTTCCTCTTCTGCAAAAATCAACCCGAAATGTCATAATTGCCAAAAGTAAAATGTCATCAGCGTTTGACATTTCTAAATATCAAACCAATGCCGTCTCTAATAGAACAGCCACGGAGCGAGATTTATGACGTCACGCTAATTAGATACTAAGGATTAATAAATATGTTGTAAAATACATGGAAAACATAATTATTCCTCGTATTTTTGGTTTGTATTTTAAAAATGATATAGTTTACATGAAATATATATAATATACAGTTAATAAATACAATATATATACCTCTTTATAGTAATAAATACTTTGGCAAATAAATTATAAACCATACAAATGCAGCAAATGTTTTACAATATACAAATAATGAATAGGTACGTAAGATAATGGGTAAAATGTAAAATATATTTTAAATTTTGGTGTTTGAAAATCGATCTAATTTAACAAAAAACATTCAATATCTACTAATAGTGATGTATTATTATTTGCATTCACAAAATTTATATGTATATTTTGCAAGTATCAATGTTCGAAAAATTATATTTGCAAATAATACAATATCATAGAAAAAAGGCGTCAGCGATGGCTATAAAATAAAGATCGCTGTCATTTTATATGTAAAATTATTCTAAAATTTTTGATTTTCTTGGGATTTAGGTTAGGATGGAGTACGATTTCAGCCATAGTCAATGTAGATAGTTAGTGTTAAGAATAATAATTTTAAAAAATAAACAAAATATTAAAAATAAACAAAAACAATAAATAATAATGAATTAATATTATTAAAAAAGTTATTAACTGTATATTATGTATATTTCATGTAAACTATATCAGTTTTAAAATACGAACCAAAAATACGAGGAAATTTTTTCCATGTATTCTACAACATATTTATTAATCCGTAGTATTTAACTAGCGTGACGTCATAAATCTCACTCCGGGGCTGTTCTATTAGAGACGGCATTGCGTCAGCATGGCCGCAAGTTGCTAACCTAATAAAATTAACACTAGAAAAGCGCGCGGGAACTGTCAAATTCAAAGTTATTCGTTTCACAGACTATAGTTGCTGTTTTTTCGAGTGCCCGGCTTAATGTGAGTTGAAAAAATAAATATGGATGACAACGTGAAAATTGCGGCAGCTGCTTTTATTGTATTGGCTGATGCTTGCAAAAAAAAAGACAAAAAAAGAAACTCTGTAGCAAAACAAAATTGATGCAAAGCCGAGAAAACTACAGTGCAAGCATTTTATTAAATAACTTAACCGGTAAACAGTTTAAGAACTTTTGTCGTTGAAGAATCAAGGGTCTTTTGGTAGATTATTCGTTATAGTGTATTTTTAAGACCTGTATTCATTTTCAGCCGATTCTACCAGGTGTTTCTCAAAAGGGGCTCACCTTTTTTACTTTTTTATTTTTCCAGATATTACAACGAAATTTGGTTTGTTAGTATATGACATAAATCGGGATTGATTGACGTATTCAATTACCTTCGGTCGTTTCCTGTTTGACCGGAAATGACTACCACTTTGGATTTTTAGATTGTATCCTCAGTACTTTTTTACTTTATTTGATAGAAAATGACATTCTGAATAAAGTGACATATTATACGTTAATTTTAGACATTTTCAATTTAAAATATTGGTTATTTTTATTTACATTTTAAATAAAAATAGCATTTTAAATTTCAATCTAGAGTGCCAAGACTGTGTTAAAACTCTTAATTTGTAATCAAAGAACTTTGGAAACATATATTTGATCGTATCCTTTCATGACCGCTTAAAAGATGCCCAAATCGAATTTTTAATTTCAGAATCCCATAATTCCGGTTTGAAATAAAAATAATCATAAAGGTCTTTATTAACAAAAATGAACGATGGACAAAATCTAGTTACATAGCTATTCACACTCAACCAACAATAAAATTAAAATTATAAAATCTTTTCTTTGTATAAACAAATTAGTTGTAAATGTTTTTCACGATCCCAGTCAATAACTGGCGTACAAGCTAGCCGTTCGGCGCTCCGCGCTCCTAATAGGCCTAGGCTGGCTGTACTTGTTGGCTTTTTTAATATCTGTGTTAATTATATTATGTCCGCGAACGTTTTGTTCGCCTAGCTTGGCCGCGGCTTAAAAGTACCAAATTTCAAGAAAAACGGTTTCCCATTGTTCTTAAAAATAAACAAAATATATTATTTTTATTTACCTTTTCGAGGGCTGTAACTTCTTCGGGAAGCATTTTAGGGATGTGTTCATAGGAACTTTTTGTTTTATTTTTACCCCTGTAGATTCACCCACCGAAGTTAGATACACTATTTTTTTGACACCTTGTATATAAATTATAATAACTTGCCAACTGCACGACGCCATAATTATAAAAGAATAATCTACCATTTAAATTACTTAGTAAATCTAAACAGTGCTCTTAAGAATAAAGTAATTTATTTAGTAGAATATCATACCGTACAATTGCCACGTACTATTTATTAGAAATGAGCAAAACTTCTCCAATCGCAATTTAAACTGCAATTGCAATTTTTAAATCGCAGTGGTGACTGTAACTTGCGATTGCGATTTTAATATTTACCAAACCAAATTATTCGTATAAAAATGCCTTTTCTAAATATGTCAATGAGCCACTCTTGTTCCATTTGAAAAAAATTGAGACATGATTAAAATACGATTTGGGCATCTTTTAACTTGCCAGGATAAGACGCGAAAAACAATAGACGATCGAATTTATTTTTCCAACGTAGTCTAAGAGCTAGCGACGTTTTCGAGAAAGTATTTTAAGACGTCTGGCTCTTTGGTATATCTTTCACTATGCTCTTTGGAACAGCATGCGGCCCGTCTGGCTGCCGATACCCGTTGCGTTTACTACTGCGCATCGGAAGAAGATCTATATTTTTATTAACTTAGTCCTATAAATTCTAGTATTGAATATAAATCGAAAATGTCTCCATAGCGCAGTGCATAGAGTTTCCGACCACGAACCGATGATTCAGAGTTCGAATCCGGGTCAGGTCAAAGACTTTTTTATTTGATTTTCGTTTATATTCTGATAAGTAAAGTATTTTGCAGGTAAACTGGTTGCCTAAATTGAAACTCGCAAATAGAAGAAATCGCAATAGCAGTTTCCTATGAGAGCCAATCGCAGGTTGCGATTGTTATTTTAAAATCGCTGTGAGTGAATCGCAGTTTGATATTTTTTGCTCAACTCTACTATTTATTATTGCCAAGTATTACAACTGCCAAGTATATTATGCTTACCTATTAAAGCCGACACAGAATCAGGATGTTTTCTAGCAATAATTCTTTCCATCTCTTTGATTTGCCTATTCAGATCCTGAATACATTTGGAATCCTTTTCGTTTTGTAATTTTAAACTTTTCGTTTGTAATTTTTCTATTTCTAGTAGCTTATTTAAGTTGATTTCGTTTTCGATAAGTTTGCTCTTCACTTGCTGGGCGTTCAACAGTTCACCCTTGTACTTGCCTAACGTGGAATCGAGTTCAACAACTTTTCTTTCTAGATTCTTGTTGGAAGAGACGAGATCCTCGTACGAACTTTTAAGCAGCTGATGAGTTTTATTGACGGTGTCGAGCTGCAATTGCAAGGACGTGTTAATCTCTTTGGTATCCTTTAAATCTTCCAGAGCTTTTTCTAGTTCGATGTTTAAAACAGGCGATTGAAGAACTTTTGTGTTAAGTTCCTTTTTCAGTTTTTCAAGTAGAGTCTGAGTATTCTGAAGATCAGTCTGAAACAGAAAGTTAGTGAAATTGTTTGAATTGGTTCACAATTAAAATAATTTTTAAGTTCACTATACCGGGTGCGATTCAAAAATGGCTCTCCTCTATAACTTTTTTATTTTTTCAGATAAAAAAACGAGATTTGGTATGTTAGTATATGACATAAATTAGGATTGATTGATCTATTTAATTGTTTTTGGCCACTTACTGTTTCATCGGAAATGACTACAACTTTTGATTTTTAAATGGCACCCTCGATATTTTTTACTTTATTCGATAGAAAATGACATTCTATTTTCGCTTTAAACAAAATCGTATTTTAAATTTCAATTTAGAGTGCCATGACTATGCTAAAAACACTAATTTTTAGTAAAGGAGCCTTGGAAGAATAGTTTTGAACGTCTAGTATTTTTCGTGTCTTGTCCTGGGTGCCAAAAGATGCCCAAATCGTCTTTTTAATAATATCTCAATTTTTTCAAATGGAACGAGGGTGGCTCATTAGCATATTTGAGAAAAGCAATTTTTTACAAATAATTTGGTACCACACATTTGGTATTTCAAGTCAAGTTGTCGTTATGAACTCCATGTTACAATTTCAAATAAACCATTTGCGAAAATGTCAAAAGTTGACATATGAAATGTCATTCTATTCAGAGTGCCATTTTCTATTGAATAAAGTAGAAATATACCGAGGGTGCCATTTAAAAATAAAAAGTTGTAGTCATTTCCGGTGAAACAGGAAGTAACTAAAAACAATTGAATACGTCAATCAATCCTATTTTGTGTCATATACTAACATATCAGATCTCGTTTTTTTTTATCTGAAAAAAAAAGTTTAGGGGTGAGCCACATTTGAGACGCACCCGGTAGACTTAGTGCATTTCAGTTGATTTCAACAAATTCCGACCGCAGCGCTTCAACGGCAAAAATCAGAAATTGTCAGTACCTATTTCACGCCGCAGCGTGTCGTCATGTTGATCGCATTAAAATAATCGTGGTTTTATCATAATACGTGTTTTAGTTTTTTTGCTAGTGCAGTTATTGAGACTATTACTGCCCTCCATTTACGCAGTTGTGGAGCTCTGAACTGTTCAAGAACGCGATACTCTCACTTCATTCAATCGAGTCATAAAGTTCAGAACTGTTCCGCGCCATATGGAGGCACCAGGCTATCGCGCACAGCTCCTTTCAGAACCGTTCTGAGTAGCCCAGGGGCGTATTCGGCGCCCCATGACAAGGGCACGGTAGAGATACCGATTTTCGTCGGTACAAATTTGCGATATCTGCCATAGGACCGATCGGCAACTATGACAACAACAATTAACACATTTTTACTATATACAAATACGTATCGAGAGCTGTCGTAACTTACCGATACCGACGATTTTACAGAATAGCGCCCCAGGGCGTAAAGCTCTGGAACTTGGAATTCGCGAATGGAGGGCAGCATATAAAACACTTGGTTACGAGGTTTGTGTGATGTAACGCTGTTTCGGGTAGTAAAATCGTGTTGTGACAATTTCAAATGTTAATAAATTGCCGAAAAAATGTTAATGCGTACCGTAGTTTGGGGCGAAATTGATAACCGGGGGCGAAATTGATAATTATATGGTTTAGTCACATTTTTAAATTTAGCGCCAAATTTATGCAACTAGAAGCAGTGGTGTGCGTCAGTCTTGTTTAGTCGGGTGTGCCATTTTTTATCTATTTTTTGCAAAAAATGCGGTTAAAATTAATTAACTAAAATTAAAATTTTATCAATTTCGCCGCCGGTTATCAATTTCGCCCCAAACTACGGTACCTAAAGGAGAGCGTAATGAGGGCGTTGTTGGGTGCAACAACATTCAACAACTCAACTTTCCCGGATATTCAAATCTCCCGAAACAACATTTTATAGCTTCATAGTTTCTCACACCGATTAGATTAAAAGCAAAAATGGATTCAAGCAGTTCGACGAAACAAGTGAGTAAACCAAGTGCTCCTTACATAGTCAAAAAATTAAATAGACATATACTATGAGATAAAATATAATTTGCAATATTAAAATCGTATACTTTTTTTAATCAACTAGTGATTAAATGTTTTATGAACATCTTCTAAAATTATAATTATGTACCTTTAAAAAATTTCGTTATAGCCGAAATAGCCCCAATCTTTGCCCCAATTATGTCCCACTAGCAAAACCGGTGATTAAAACTATGCTCGCTACCGTAGTTGAACTCATCTAAAAAGTTTTTTAACTGGAATAATAAATTTTAATACAGGTTAGACCTTCTGAAGATATCAAAATATTTACTTTTTTATTTTTATTTTTAGAATTTTCACAAATTATACTTCCTAACACTTTTAGAATAATTAAATAATACATTTTTAGTATTCTCGCTATTTAAACCCGTGTATTTCTAAGTACTAGTTGTTTACAATATTCTCCGAAGGTGGCAGCACCGGTGGAGAATGCACCAAGACTATTCGCATGAAATTTTAAGGGTAAAAGTTATAATATCTCTACATTTAAAATTTTAAGGGTGGATGTCACCCCCGCGTGGATTTTGAATTAAGGGCTTCAAAAATAGCTTATTTCCTTGTCCTTTTCACACCAGAAATGCCTTTAAATTGCCTTGTTTCGTTTGAACTGGGACATCCTGTATATCTAAAACAACAATACACCATAATAAAAACTTAAACGAACTGGAGAAAGAAGGTCATTAAAAACGCAAACTTTCTTTTGAACATTTGCATTTGTATGCAAATGAGTATGTGTATGAGAAACGTGATTGGATGTCTTGATAGGTGTCTCTTCAGCCTTTTCCATAATTAATGTAATCAATTATATTATAGCGACGGTAGAGGTGCTCGCAAAAAAGTTTCCAACAAATAATTTTATTATTAAGCGATAAATAAACAAAACTTTATGTGGACTGAAAAAATATAAGTAATTTTACAAATAAAGAGTACTTTTAATAAGAAATTTGTAAAAATAAGATATTTTTGAATAGCTTCATAAAAAAATGTAATTTTGCAAAACTAATAATAAATAATTTTTTTTTATTAATATTAAATTGTAAAACTTGGAAAATAAGTTCGTCATAATAATGCTTTTATTTATTCACTATTCTAATAAAGAATATGCATTTCTTCGGAAAAACACGGCGGCGAGGCAGAAGTAGACGGGCCGGCCGGCTGTTGTGTTGTGTTGTGTTTTGTCACAGAGCTGACAATTGAGGGTTGCGAGTCTTTTGACTATCATAGTTGCGAGTCGTTTGACTGTAAGGCAACGCGGTCGTTTGACCACAAGAAGAAAACCTCTTGTGACGTCCTGCCTTCGAGTTGGTCTTGAGAGTTTGAGGTCTCCATAATGTCTTTTCGATTGACGATGCGGCGTTGGGGTAGTGAGGTACCCCAATTAGCCTATTCGATTGGGATGCGAATCTGTTTAGCGGCAGATTTGCGTCCGCGGGAAGCCCCTATACTATTTCAGGTGAAACTAGCTAGTTTAAGATTATTAACCAATAGATCCGAATAATATTTGAATTAGATGGAAGATATGGAATGGGATATATTAAATAGAATGTTAGTGATGTCAGTGGCTAGGGGGCGGAGTACCTCCGGGGTAGTTTTACTATTTAACTATCAATTTTATCCAGATTAGTAAATGTTTGTTTTGTCATTTTCATCTACAATGAGAGAGTACTTGCCAATGACCAACTAAATGGATATTTGGAGTGAATTTGCATTGTGAGACCCAGTTGAGTAAGCCCCAGAAATCAGCGATTTTACAAAATGATTATTAAATTACTAAACCATATTATTTTCACAAGGAGTTTTTTGAGTTTAAAAATTAAACTTAAATCAGAAATACGCCAAAATGACGCCATGTCACGTGACTTCTTGTGAAGCTGAGGGTGCATCCACATCATCCTAGAAAAAGCGGAACGGCGTATCGGCGACATTAATTTATGGACTTTATTTAAATTTATAACAGTTATTTCTCTGGCTTCAAAGTCAGCACAAGAATTAACTCTGAAAAATAAAGTATAGGGTGTTGACAAACTTCAAACTTTTTTATTATAGCATGCATATTTAAATATCTTTATATATCTTAAAAACCAAAGCATTTAAATATATTTAACCCTTATAATAAATGCCTTATTTTGTGTCCAAGAATCCAAAATGAAATAAAATACCGGGTGTGTTCCATAAGAAAAAATATAACTTTGGTATGGATCTTAGTCTGACACACCCTGTATATTTGAAAATAATTTTAAATTATACACATTGCCTCTCTACATATACCCATAAAACAGTTTCTACGTTTTTTCGTTTTCGTATAATCAACCGAGGCGAATGATGTGCGCCACACTGTATAAGCGATGCCTAACTAAAAAGTAAAAAAAAAGTTTTCTTATACTTTGAATTAATTTCGACAAAGCACCTACTCTTAACTACAAATAGTAGTAGTTATTTTCTGTAAACACTGCTGGCGTTAATCCAACGGAAACTACTTATCAGCAGTTAGGATTACTTATAAATAAATTTGCCTAACGAACAAAAAAATTCTAAACGTTTCGGAAAGTTTATCTCTCACAAAACACTCCAATTTTTTTTTGCTTCCGACGACGGAAAGAGATAAACTTTCCGAAACGTTAAGCAGTTTTTTGTTCGTTAGGCAAATTTGTTAATCAGTAAACCTAACTGCTGACAAGCAGTGGGATTATGTAAGCTCCGTAGCAAGAAATTTCTTGCCTAGCCTATGTTATTTGTATACGATTGATGAGTCACTAAACAGGAAATTTGTTTACAGAATCGTACGGAAGTAGTTTCCGTTGGATTAACTATTTTATTTTGTAGATTTTTTTGCAGTAGCGGATTTTTTTGAAGAGATGAATCCGCCACATAGGTATAGACATTTTTTAACATAAATGTTCCATGATCTCTTTATAGAAACATATCTCTAAGTATTATTTACTCTTTCAGACTGTGTTTCGGGGGACAAATTTTCTAGAGGACCGGAGTAGAGGTCAGAGTCAAACCTATCCAATGGCAATGTTGTTCCTATTTTAGTTAGGCGCAGAATTCCAGTAAGTTTCTTCTAGACAAGAAAAGATGGCAATGAGTGTCTTACATACATACCGCTAAAGGAACAGGAGCTGGAGTATTTGGGGAAAGACCAAGGGCAAGCTTATCCCTTTCCTTGGGTAAACACTCAACCGTATTCCAGGCAGAAATCCTCGCCATTCTACAATGTGCGAGAGAAAACAATAGAAGAGCTTATTCAGGTAAGCTCATCAATATATGCTCAGACAGTCAGGCGGCACTTGGGGCGCTTATGAGCCCAAAGGTATCGTCGAGACCGTCTGGGAATGCCTGGGTAAACTGGGAGCTCTGGCACGAAGGAACGGAATTAAATTATTCTGGGTGCCGGGCCACAGGGGCATCCAAGGCAACGATAAAGCTGATGAGCTAGCTAGGCAGGGATCAGGATCCTATCTTGGTCCAGAGCCAGTACTGGGAATACCCAAATGTATGGCCCGTAGGGCACTAAAACTCTGGATCAGGGAAAGGCAGAATGTCCATTGGAGAAACAGAGAGGGGCATAGGCACAGCAAGACTTTTATCCAAGGACCTAGCTCTAAAATCGCAAAAGAACTGCTAATGCTTAGCAGGAATAAAGTGCGGATTACAACAGGCCTCTTGACAGGACACATGGCTGTCAAGTGTTACCTGAACAAGCTCAACCTGTATCAAGGAAGTCTTTGCTGCAGACTCAGCGATAAAGATCCTGAAACAGCGGGGCACATAATATGTCATTGCGAGGCTCTGGATCGCAAACGACACTTTTTATTTGGGAAAGCTAGGCTAGAACCAGAGGAACTATGCTCCCATCCTATCAAGGACCTGCATAAGCTACTGAAGGGCACAGGGATAGGAGAATGGGCGCAGATATAGAAAGGGGACAAACACAATAGGCCTCACAGGTCGCAGTGTTTCCGGCAGAGGACGGCCCTTTGTTATGGCCTAATCTTACATACATAATTTCTGTTTTGTGACTTTTTATTAACCTTTATAATAAATATTATAATTATAAACACGTGTTTTATTAAATTTATTAATATTTATTAACTATTTGCTTGGTGGATTTACAATAGTAATTGTAAATTCACTATAATAAAATGTTTAAATTTGTTGTTACTCTATAGTAATAGTAAAAAAAAGTTGGCGATTTTAAAAGATAAATTTACAATGAATAAGTAAATTTATTACGAGATAGATATTTTTTACATAAATTCACAAAGAATATTGGCAAATATACAATATCACATATCAGTGGCGTAACAACGGAGTCAGGGTCTGTGTGCAAAAATTTTACCGGGCCTCCTATTACACCTACATATTTCGATACTTATGTACTAATCTGAATAATATGCACTCATATTTTAGGTTAGAAATAATATTATCAAATTAATTTTTATATAGTATTATTTATTACTGCAACACAGAATATGTAACCCAAAACATATAAAATATCAAATAAATAAAAAAATAAATAAAAACAAAACAAAAAACAACAACAAAACTAACTAAATTAAAATAAACAATGTAAATAAGAACATGAACATGTTAAAATTCTTTTTTCCTTGCTTTAGCATGGGCGAAAGTTGACACAATATTACCAATATCTATTGTACAACTAACTTCATTTTCTACTGAAATAATAGCCAAAAAAAGTGGCAGTTTCGGGCACCTCCCGTAATTCAGCTGTCTTAGTGTCCCCTTAATACAACCATTAGATAACTAGAGTTTTTGTGATTTTGAGTTAACTAGTTTGGCCAGTATAATTTTTCATGCCCTTTTTGATGCTACAACGAGCTTAGTTCTATTTCTATTCGATGATACATGAAATCCAGTGACAATACAACAAATTTCCTTTTTTTGTCAAATTTAATGCTCTAATGAAAAATCACATATTTCCAGTTATTTTTATTTTGCAAAATAAAAAGGAAAACACAGTTACAAAATTGCACAAGAACAAGTGTAAAGTAATAAGTTATTTTAGTGATAGCGTGTGCTAGTTAAGAAGACATGTGATAGATAAGAACTTAGTTCGGGATCGCCCGATTCTGCTTGATTCGCGATAGCATGTGATAGATATGGGAATGGCGGCTCGGGCCTCACACACGGCACGTCGATAGTTAAGCCACTGTAACATATTTACATACATGCTACAAATTAGCCATACAGCGATTTTACAAACGTGTTTTAAAACTAAAAAACAAATGGTAAATTTACTACAATAATCTGTAGCAAGAAATAACCATCAATATTGTTATTAAATTCACAAATTAATTTTTTCAGGGTACAGTGATTTTACAAACGAGTTGTAAAACTAAAGAACGGGTGCTAAAATTTACTACAATAATCTATGGCAAGAAATAACCCCTTAATATTGTTATTAAATTCACAAATTAATTTTTTCAGTGTATAACTGCAAAACTAGATCGACCATACCGTACATCATCGTTGCAAATTAACGACAAACCTTAAGAGAAAATCGTCCGAAGGAAGCCATAAATAGGGGCCAGTCGATTCGCCCACTCGTTCACCAACACCAACAACAAACAACGGAAAAGAAATAATAATAAACGAGGAACCGGCGCTAAGTCCAAGATTTACGACCATTTCGGCTTTTACTAGCGGTACCGTTGGTTCCATCCAGGTCAGGCGGTATAATCGATATAAAACCGGGGCGACCGTTCGCGTGGTTCCCATTCGAAAATGTCGAAGGCGGTTGTTTCGGTGGTGCTCGTCGTGGCGCTGGCATGGCTTGGACAAGTTTCTTCCAGAAATGTACGCGAAATTGACAGGTAAAGTTGCTGTTAAGATTTTCCACGTTTTAAAAGCAATAAGCGAAAACAGGGTTTTCAGGGCAAATTTTCAATTTTTAAGACTTTATGACATTTTAATTCTTTGAAGCAGTACAATGAACGTAATTATTTTAATAATAGATAGATGATAAATTTTCTTTATTAAAAAAAAACAATATGAAATAATGTCAGAACAAAACGATAAAAATACTAATATACAGGGTGTGCCAATATTCCGTGGACATAGAACTACTACATATTTTTGAAATCAAAATAAGTTCATTAAACACAATTTACCTCTATACAAAAGTGCTTTGTTTGTCCGCTAGAGCACATCAATCTTTGAAAAAATAAACATATTTTTTAAGATATTTTAAGAATTATATTGGAATGAGATTGATATGTTTTGCTAAGTGCTGAAATATTTGACTTTCACAAAAATCAAGAAAAAGTACGGGAAGGGTGAAAAGTACTCCCACCCCTTCATAAATTTTAGTACAAAAAATATTTTTAAACTCAACCGATGACTAATTTTTTCTCGTAAAATGGTCCTTCTAGTACTTACTACATTTTTTGTCTCTCGTCATACTTTTTGAGGAAAAAAATATATTTCTGTGGGTGACTTTCAAAGAATATTTTTGTCAGATTAATTTATGGAGGCGAATAAAATCTATTATGCTCTAATAATCTAGTTGGCGAAAATATGGAATTTTATGTTAGTACGACAAATTATATTTGACAATAAGCTTCATAAACAGCTTAAAAAAATTAATAAATTTTAAATTAATTATATTAACGTGTTTATTTTTTATTGATGCCCTTTAACGGACAAAAACGAAGCACTTTTGTATAAAAGTAAATTATGTGCAATTAACTTACTTTGATTCAAAAAATTCGTATTTGTTCTATGTCCACGGAATATTTTTCTCAACAACTATGTGATGTGGCGTTTTTTACAAAAGATAAAAATGTAGTAAATACTAGAAGGACAATTTTACGAAAAAAAATCGGTCTTTAGTTGTTAGTTGACTTGGAAAATATTTATAGTAAAACTTATGTAGGGGTGAGGATAGTTTCCAGCTTTTCCGTACATTTTTTTGATTTTTGTGAAAGTCAAATATTAAAGCACTTAGCAAAACATAGGCACCCCAAATCTCATTCAAATCGGAATAACTAGCCACATAACTCGTAGCGATTTTTACCAAGAGGCCTTTTTTACGTAAAAAACAGCGGAAATATTCTTTTTTTCCTCAGTAGTTTAATACAGTTATGGACGAAAAGTTATTAGGTATTCTTCAAACCAGTTAAAAAATATGTAGGTAGCGCCCTCTACAAGTAGGAGTTATATTGACATCAAAATCAGATTTCCCATGTCAAAAAACTACCAGACACCAATTTTCATCCAAATATCGATATTAGTTCAGAAATTGTTTGGAAAAAATCGAAATAAAAGTGAATCTTCTACACCCTGTATCTCCAAAACGAAGCATTTTAGAACATATATTTATACGGATCCCTTTACTTATTTTTATCTGCAGAATATACTGCCGAAGAATAAACCTTGGACCACCCTGTATAGCTGCCTTATTAGTCCATCCGTTAGCATTTTTATTATCGAATGTAATACAACAAGATGTTTCGGGATTACCGAATAATACTTTTACCTGACATGAAATGTGTTAAGGTTGATTCTCACTATACCTTCCGTATCAGCTCCCTTCCGTTTCCGTAAAATATATTATATCATGTAAATGTGTGTGTGAAGGGAATTCCGTTTCCCTTCCGTTCCATATCCTTTCCTTCCATACATTTTTTTTGGCGGACGGACTGAAGCATATCGGAAACAGGGTTGTCAAGTTCTTATATTTCTACCAGCTCTGTTAACAGTTTGCTGACATTCCACCTCTTAATCAAACCTATTACATTTTTCAAAGGATACAAATTTTTAAAATAAAATTTCATAATGATATAAATTGTACAATAAAAAGTATGGAGCTGATACGGAACGGAAGCTTATGTATAGCGTCAATACAATAAAAATTTGGAACGAATATGGAATTGACATGGAATGGAAACGGAACGTATAGTGAGAATCAACCTTTACCCTCCTCCTTCGGAGTCGTAGTGTTGCCGGTATCGCATTGAGTGTCAGGCAAAAGTATTAGCCCGTGGTTACATTGGATGCGTGTCCGTACGTTTTTTGGTCGTAGGTGCTCGGACGTGCACGCAGCAAAAAACAAACAAACGGTATCTACGCAGGCGGTTACATTGCATCGGAGTTTGCGCGTCCGTGCACGTACGTCAATTTCCGTTGGTCGGATGAAAACAAACTGGTTTGTTTTTTTAATACGTGCACGTCCGAGCGTTCGAATTTTCATATCTCTGGTCCCAATACATTCCTTAAAAATTTGAATATTTTTGAATACCAGGTTTATTTTTATTTTAGATATATTAATGTTGCTGGAAACATTCTAAAACGTTCAAAAAATTTGACCGGTTCCTATTTTAATTCACCAAATATTTTACATATTCATTGTCTTCCCCTTTTCTTGTATATAAATCATTTATCTAACATTTTCTTCTGTTTATAAGTAGTTATTTTAACATTAAATTCTCAGACAGCATCAAAGTAGTGGAGTCCATTTTGACAAACTCGACACACATGACACCATGAACGCGCATCTAATGTAACCACTAAAATAAAATAGTCGTGCGAGTAAATTTCGTCAGTGCCCGCACGTTTAAAAAAACGCACGGACCCGCGTCCAATGTAACCGCGGGCTAAGTAATCCCGAAACATCGAGTTGTATTCAAAAGATTATACAACGAAATAAAGTACATACATATGTATATCCTTCTTATTTTGCCATTTTGTAATAAGAATTGACGGTATATTTTGTGGAACTGACAGAAATAACTTCTGAATTAATATTTCAAAAAATGACAATTGCAATATGGCCACTAAGCAATAATCACTTAAATGATTATCACTTATTAATCACATCCTTCTATATAGGAAAAATATACATAGAGTTGTATAATCAATGCAAAACTTTGAGTATCCTCGGTACCACATTGTATAATAAATTAATATTTTTTGCCAACTTTTTGGCGCACAGAGTATGCAGCAAAAACGATATATTATATTAATCTTTTATTGGTATTGTTATAGCTTAACCACAGAAGAAAGTGTCCCTCTACAGAAAAACGAAAATCCATTATCGGAATCAACGTTCCAAATTGAGGACATTTTCGATGGTACCGAACAAACAGAAACCGATCAGTCGATAGACAAAGGCTTAACAAAAGCAATTGCCTTCAATAATGATACCATTGAAGACGAACTTCCCCAAGGCCGAGTATTTTATACAGGCAGCCAATTGTGGAAAACAATTGTGGATAATGAGGACAAAATTGACGTATTGGCCAAGTTAAGAGAGGAACAAGGTAATATGTATATTCCTTTTGTTCGTTACATGGCTGTAACCACAATAATTTATAAAACATCTCTTCAAAAAAGTTAAATAATCCAAAATTTTTTTCAAAAAAATTCCAAAATTTTCAATTTTAAAAAAAACTCATAAACCTCTCGTGTTTCTGCGAGTGAAATAATACTACCCCTAAAAATACTTGTACTTATTAAAAACTCACCCTGTATAATTAATTTTAGATAAAAATTTTAAAATAAAAGTTGTAGATAATCATACCTTAATGAGATTGTGTTCTCCGTTTTTTTTCTTCTAAAGCCTGTCATTTTTGACATATGACATAAACATATGTTTTTTTAAATGGAAACTATAATTGGCCATGACTTCATAAAAAACGCCATTTTTTAAGCTCTCCAGCGATATAAGCTATAATACAGGGTGATCCAAACCAAACCAAACTGTTATTCCGGAAACTTCGGCATAATTATTTGACTGGAATAATAAATTTGGGAAATTTTTTTTTAAATTAATCATATATTTTTCTGCGAAAAAATGATGATAAAACAGTTTCTGTTGAACTTTTGACACAAAAACATTTCAAATTTATGATTTCAGTCTGACAACTCTTTAGTCAACATGTTTAATTTATGTCAATGATAACAGGTATTCATAATTTTGATTTTAAATATCTCGTGAACAAAAACTCGTAGCGATTTTTACCAAGAGACATTTTTTACGTAAAAAACGTCGTAAATATATATTTTTTACTCAGTAGTTTTATACAGGTACGGACGAAAAGTTATTAGTCTTCAAACCAGTTAAAAAATATATAGGTGGCGCCCCCTACAAATAGAGTCATATTGACATCAAAATCAAATTTCTCATGTCAAAAACTCCCATACACTAATTTTCATCCAAATATTCACGTTACTTCAGAAATTATTTGAAAAAAATCGAAATAAAAATGAAACTTCTACACCCTGTAACTTCCGGAATACAGTTTAGACCATCCTGTATATTTTTTTTCGAACACAATCTCATTAAAGACGTGGTTATCTACAACTTTTATCTGAAAATTTTTTTGTCTGATATACATTGTAATGAAATTAGGGAGCATTTCTTTTCAAAACTCCGAAAGGCGCCATATATGTTTGTCCTCACAAAACTGCAATTCTTTTCCCCTTTAACCGACACTCTAATTCCAGTAATTTCCAACTTAGAGTAAAATAACAGTCTACCGTCTACCCATAGAGAACATCGTAGAAAACTCGCCCTATATACATTATCTTATTAGATTTTAATTTAATTTTTAGATATAACAATGTGGGGAGGTAATTCGTCGTCCATTGATATCTTGGTCAAGTCAGATTCGATCAAAAAAGTTAGGAATGCCTTAAGCGAAAAGAATATTAAATTTTACGTGACTATTGACGATCTTCAACAAGCTATAGACGATGAAAATCCTCCATTAGAAGAGGAGGACTTTGACAACAGGAATGGTAAGAATGTAACGCAAACATGTTTTCAAAATTTTATACCTATACCGGGTGCGTCTCAAAAGTGGCTCACCCCTATAACTTTTTTATTTTATCAGATAAAAAAACGAGGATTGGTATGTTAGTATATGACATAAATTAGGATTGATTGACCTATTCAGTTGTTTTTGGTCACTTCCTGTTTCACCGGAAATGACTACAACTTTTGATTTTTAAATGGCACCCTCGGTATTTTTTTACATTATTCGATAGAAAATGACATTCTGAATAGAATGACATATCATATTCTAAAAAAATGATATAATAAAACTTCTACAATACTGTGTATCTCCGAATCAAAGCATTTTAGGACATAAATTTATTACAGTATTTTTACCACCTTGTATATCAGATTTATTGTCTGATATTTTTTTATAAAATTACGGAAAAATACTGTCCACTTTTAAATTTATTTTTGTAAATATACAGGGCGATGCTATTACCAAAACGTTAAAAAAGCTTTTTATTAGAATATGAAATATTTCAAAATAGCTGTGTCCAATGCTAAAATATTTATATATACATATTTTTTAGCTAAAAAACTGGCCTTTAGATATTATTTAGTATGGAGAGGCCTTGTATCTGCGCAAAACCGTCTGGATCTACGGCCCAGTGCTAATTGGGGTCCGTAAAAAATACGAGAGTATGTAAAAGCATGACGAGCATGTTAATGTGTGATTTTCTTCTTCAATCTTTGATTGTTTCTCTTTGATTGACTCTTCTGACTTTGATTGATCTTGAAATGTATATTCGTTATTGTTTTAAATAACACCATATTCAATCCTATCAATAATCATCTTCAATTTCATCTGGTACATTTATATCTTTTAAAAATACGGATGAAATTGTTAGTAATAATAACAACCGTGTATTAATCTCCTTTTTTTTTCAATTTTATTTACTTTTTTCTTATTTGTAATTTTTTTCTATTATTGCACAAATAAAAATTCTATATTTGATATTGTATTTAGATGAATATGACTTTGATGAAAAATATTCAAGAAATCACTATAGCTAGACAAAAACCGAACTTATTCAAACTCATTTCGAAATGACAGAATAACTTTAATTTTTGCATTCTTGCAAGTCTAGTGTTTGCTCTGTTATTTTGCATCTAACATGTCAAAAATGTTTATTTTTGTATGCAATAAAATATAGTTTTATTTTGATAACAGTACCTAATCGCGGAATTTACGTTGGGAAAAGAATATTATAAAATTTGGTAAAATAAGGGCGGTATTTGTATTTGTATCGGTATTTTTTATATATTTAGCAACAACTGCGGTACTTTAACTTCGTTTAGCAACAACCGCGGAAAAATTTACTTTGTGGTTCGGCGGTATGCTACGTGATAAATATGTAAAACCGCCGGTATTATAATTGTTTATACCGCCGGTAATTTAGCCAGTTTGAAATAATAAACCTAAATCGTTGATCGAAAGAATTGGGAGGATACGCAACCTGATGGGCAAATTCGTGACAAGGATAATTTGATTTCCCCTTACGTCTCAAGTGCTGCACGGTGGAGCCTCTACTCGTTTTGCAGTCAACGCATAAAACATTTATTTTCTCTAATTCAGCCAGCGCAAGCATATCGTAAACGGTGTGGAACTGAAAACGACAGTGTTGCCATATTAAAAGTGTAATATCTGTAATACGTTTGACGAAAATATCTTTGGATGAAAAATCCGCGTTTATGTAGGCATTGAAAATGTATTCGTGTTAAACATAGAATAAACAACAAGAATAAAAATTCTTTTCAGGTACTGAATATTTCGTACGATCGAAAAAAAGTCGTTTATTTAGCTTGGAAATGACGAAGTATTGACATTTACCATAATATTTTACATATGAATTAACAGCGATCATCATTTCCAATCCAACTCTGACGCCGTTCTTTTTCTAATCATATAATATTATATTAAATTGTTTAATGATAGAAAATCCGTATTATTAACATACTGTACACAAAATCCGTAAATCTACGGATTAATCCGTAGTTCTGGCAACACTGTCTCCGGCAACCACTCTGTCGACTAAAAGCAGAACTATGGTACAGTATTTTTTATCCGCTGAAAAGCAGAACTATGGTACAGTATTTTTTATCCGCTGCGTTGTAAACGACAATCAGCGCGCAGCGGCGGCGCGGCGGTGCAGAGGTAAACTAAATATCGGAATTCTTGGACAGGCTAGGCTGATTGACATATAAAGTTGCACGTCTTATTTTTTTCAATCAACGCCTAAATTATTATGTCTTTTTCTTAGGTCATCGTCTTACATGGCAAGCTTACCATCGCTTGGAAGACATTCATGACTATTTTGATCACTTGGTCGAAACTTATCCTGATTTAATCACGCTCCAAGAAATTGGCCGTTCCGTTGGAGGCCGTCCAATAAAATTATTAAAAATATCCAATGGCCAAAGTGGAAATAAAGCTGTTTGGATTGACGGTAATGTAAAACTAGTGCCTTACACCAAAAAATACACCGGTTGATAAGAAAATAGATAAAAAACAAAGTTCACTCTTTAATCTAACCAGCCAGTTAAAGAATTATACAGGTCCGGCAATAGTGAGTCGAGCATCGGTAGCCCCTAGAATAAAAAACTTGAGAATTTTGTTTCTGTACAAACCTAAAGCATGTACAAGGATGTATTTCAGGACAATATTTTAACTTCTATAGGGTGTCTCAAAAAAGTATGAGTGTATCTGGATGACTTTTTTTAAATGGTATACCATGTATATTATTGCATTTTTGGCTTCCTTTCAGATCACTTTACATAATCCTAAGATATGAGTAAATATATTTTGATAGTTTCAGAGATATTAACAAATAAATCAAAAATATATATTTTTTTGCCCTTCTTAAAAAATTAAATACAAGAACTGTTCTGAAACCAAAACTATACAGGTATTTATTTTATATGGTCTGTTCTTACTTTTCTATAAATATGGTAGGTAATCGTAAATCATACAGGATGTTCAATATTCTAAGCCAAACTTTCTAAAATATAAAATATTTTTTCTTTATTTTTAAAAATTGTTAACACCCCGTATATTATTTTTTTATTAGATGGAGAGTTAGAAAATGAACATTTTTTGTGTTTAAAGTATTTTAAAATTTTTAATAGTTTTGCAGATACACGCTACACGCAGTATTATTTCATATGGTGCTTTCAATGGTAAAATACGAGAGAAAAAATTATCACTGTGTGGCTTTCATAACAATTTACTGTGAAAAATGCCATATGAAATATAAAATAGGGAATATCTGCGAAACAGTTAAAAATGTTGAAATACTCTAAACGCAAAAAATGTTCATTTTTAATTCTCCATCTATTGAAAAAATAATATACAGGGTGTTCCATTAAAAAAAAACAAGAAAAATTATTTTAATTTTCGACAGTTTGGCGTAGAATTTTGAACATTGTGTATGATTTACGATTTCCATATTTATAGCAAAGTAAGAACAGACCATCCAAAGAAAATACCTAATATAGTTTTGATTTCAGAACAGTTCTTGTATTATTAATAATTTTTTTAAGAAAAGCTGGAAAATATATAATTTTTATTTAATTATTAATATCTCTAAAATTATCGAAATATATTTACTCATACCTGAGAATTATGTAAAGTGATCTGAAAGGAAGCCAAAAATGCAATAATATACAGGGTGTTCCATATAAAGAAAATCATCCCGATCCACTCACACTTCTTTGAGCCACCCTATAGAAGTTAAAATATTTTCCTGAAATACGTCCTAGCACACATTTTAGGTTTGCATTATGGGTTTGCACTTAAACAAAATTGCCCAACGCACTATTGCCGGATCATTTATAAAAATAAAAATATTAAAAAAGAAAAAGATAAGTTTCATCTATTCCATAAATTATAAAATATTTTTTTCAGGTGGTATTCATGCTAGAGAATGGATTACTCCTGCTACTGTAACTTTTATAATCAATAACTTCGTCAGTAATTGGGAAAATGAACCAAAGTACGTGCAAAATATCGACTGGTATATTGCTCCGTTACTAAACCCTGATGGCTACGAATACACGCACACTGTTGATAGACTGTGGCGTAAAAATAGAAGAGGAGCTGGAAGATGTTCAGGCACAGACCTCAACCGAAACTTTGGGTAAGATATGTTTTTTTCCTGGTTCCACTGCGACCTTTTCAGCTCTATTATGGTCCCCTTTTGATCATCCTTATGTTACATTATTCAGTCCTAATCCTTTTCAAAAAGTCTAGCAACTTGAAGACTGAACCCTCTATATAGCTCTTTGTCAATGGACTATCATTGCCTAATACAAAAAAACACACCCTTGCACCCTTGCCAGACTGTCGCACCGACATAAAATGTGTTCTGTCTCTAGATCATATATACTTACGTGGATAAGTAAATCACGATGGGAACTGTTGCAAACATATGAACGACTTCCATTTATGTTCGTTTTTTGTTGCACACGCGGTGCTTCTACTCTATCTATCCTTGTCGAGAACCTATCGTCCACGCGCCAAATTTGAATATTAATTTTAAAAATTTAATTTGTAAAATGCAAATATTTGAACAATAAATTGAATGTTTACTGTCACAAAAAATAAATTTAGCCACTCCGTACGAATATCAATGTTGTTAGAAAATCTAACGAGAAAATATGCATGTGGTTTAATATAAATAAAAGAACAACTGAATACTTTACTTGCCTATAAAAAGATAATCGGGGACCTTAGATATTAGAACTTCCACACACCACTTTCTATTTTTTTTTCGAGTATTTAGAAAGTCCAATGAAAAAAAGTATAAATATAATTGCACAAACTTAAAATTAATTTCTCACCGAACACACTTGCATTCTTGGCTATATAAAAGCGGTCGATAAAAGAGTAATTAATACAATTTTTAAAATAAAAAACGCAAAAAACAAGCGTCGTTACACAATGGGAATAACATTATGACAAGATTGGACAAGATCGACAAGATTATGACCAAAATTATGACAATAAAAAGTTGGTTTACATAACAATGTATAATTTGTACTTTCTAAACCGTATAAAATTGTGATTATTTTGGAACTACGTGCAACTTTTAATGCGCATGCGTAAAGTAAGGTTCTCGGAAGACGAACCTACTGAACGTTTCTTAAGTGCAATAAAGGAGGTTTGAAAATGACATGTCGTGATGTTGGAGACGTAATTTTTAATGCTAAACTTATGGCGTTGATTTATCGACGTAAGTATATATTTATGATCTAGGGTTCTATCGTTTCTTCTTCCGATTGGCAGAACCTATATACACACGGCTTCGTCCGTCAATCCCATCAGCTTTAGATGCTTACATGCTTACAAGGCCCTATTACCCACTACTGCGTTGACTATCTATCTTTCTGTCTTCGCTTATCAGGTCTTCAGCGAATTTTGGCGAATGTTCTACTATGAACTTTTCGCCTGGGCTCTGCCCTGGTGAATTTCTCTATCATTCTAGAGATTTGTTGGCCATTGGAACTCTTATGGATCCTCCCCCAGGAGACTCATATCGACTAAGTAATTTGACAGAGGCACTGACACAATGTCTATCCAGATTTATATACTTTGCACATAAATCCAATAATAAAGTACGCAAGAAACAACATAAAATAAAATTAGAAAAGTGCAAACATTCAAATGAGTCTTGCTTATTCTTAACGAAGCTAATGTACTTTGAAAAATGTCTTTAAGAAATTAGAATGGGAAAATAGAGGTCTAAACATCAATGAAATACACCTTAGCCATCTTAAAATTCGCAGACGATATTGTCTTGGTGAGCACCGACATTCAAGAACTGAACACCATGCTAAAGGAGCTAAATGACCAATCCCAGAAAGTTGGCCTTAAAATGAACTCGAAGAAGACCAAGATAATGAGCAACAATAGCCATAACATTACCGTAGACACCGTTGTTATTGAAAACGTAGACCATTATATTTAGGTCATAAAATCAAGGTGGGTAAAGAGAACCAAAATGCGGAGATCAAACGCAGGATCCATTTGGCATGGGTAGCATTTGGAAATATGAACGATATCTTCAGGGATAAAAAGATGCCCATCAACCTAAAGAAAATGGTTTACGACAGCTGCATTCTACATGTGCTTATGTATGGACTAGAGACTATGGCAATTACCCGAAAAACAGCAGAACAACTACGAGTTACACAAAGAGCCATGGAAAGAATCATGTTAGGAGTCCACATACGTCAAAAAAAACTAATAGATGTAGTTAAAAGAGTGGCAAATCTGAAGTGACAATGGATCGGACATGTGGCAAGACAGGATCCAGACCGATGGCCCCAAAAGTAATTCTATTGAGACCTATGGGAACAACAAGAAGTGTGGACCGACCAAAAAAAAGATGACGTCAGAACAGTGGCAGGAAGACCATGGATAAGATTGGCTAGAGATCGCAAAGCATGGAAAAACCTAGAAGAGGCCTATATCCAACACTGGATGGAACCACTCGATTATGAACGAGCGATGTAAGTGACGAGTTACAAGCGGAAGCGATCCTAGAGTGAAATAAATTGAAATCCGATTTTAAGGTGACATACTCGATAAAAAGCCGAGCAAATTTTCTACATACATTGCAGGTAGCAAATTTATACGACGCATTATATATATTTATCCGTTGCGTATCTGAGGGTCAAAATTTTACGACCTACATCGACAATGCTTTGAATTGAACTAAATCAAGCGATCAAGCGAATCGCTCGCCGCTTGCTACTTGCCATTCGTCACCGAAAGAATATGTGCCCTGCGCACGCAACTTACTGCTTGGCGCTTGGCGTTAACGAGAACGAGTACTTACAACAAGTGACGGATGAAAACCCGTATTTTTAAATACGAGTGATATTTCGCTCGAGCGATCACTCGGTTATTGCAATCGCTTGAAACTCGAGTATTACGATTACTGAAATTAATCGGTTTTTCCCATCACTAAAAATTATATTTTATCCTCATAGTATATATGCTATTTAATTTTTTGATTATGAATAATGGCCATTTTGTTTGTTACTTGTTTCGTCGAACTTCCTGAATTCATTTTTCATCAAATCGGATCAAAAGTTGTAAAATATTGTTCCGGGAGAGTTGTATTGAGTGTTATTGCACCCATCAACCACGCAATTATGCTATCGTTTACGTGTTGACATTTGAAATTCTCACAACATAACGAGTCGCCCAGTTTGGGTTCTTTTTCATGTGTTTTAATTTTTACTACCTGAAACTTGGTACAAGGAACCCTACTTATAGTACCTGAGAATATCATGGTTTCAGTAATTGCACTAGTAAAAACTAAAATATTTAAAATATATGACAAAGCCCCGTTTTTAATATTATTTCAAAACGATCAACATGAACGGTAATCAAGACTGCGTGAAATAAAGAGCCGGAAAGTTCTGATTTCTGCCGTACCGAGCGATGCTGTCGAAATTTTAAAAAATCGACTGAAGTACACCAAGCCCGAGACCAAGCCTGTAGATAAAAATAACTTCAACAACTTTAAGTGTGAGATTTTGTTATGGTTTCAAAAAATAATTGTTGAAAAATTAATAAAGGTCTATTCTTCTAATGTTTAAATAATATCATTTTTAGATATCGCTGGGGTGGTCAAGGCTCTTCCAAAAATCCATGTGCCGAAACATACGGGGGCTCAGGACCGTTCTCAGAGCCGGAAACGATGGCTATTCAACGGTTCATTAGTGACTCAGACGCCAAATGGAAAGCGTATATCTCGTTCCATTCTTATGGCCAATACATACTGTATCCCTGGGGTTATAACAGGGTCGTGCCACCGGATTATAAAGAACTGGAAGAAGTGGGGCAGAAGATGGCTCAAGCTATACGAAACGCTGGAGGTCCAGCATATACTGTAGGGCCGGCAGGTAACTGACATTTATTATTATATGTACTTTATCTAACCAACGAAAAAAAAAAGTTGTTAAAGCTACATAATACAAAGCGATAACAATTAAACTTTTAGTTACGTAATCGAGGGCGCGATTTTTAAAAATTAAACCAAATTTTCATGATTTTAATAATTTTCTCTAAAACGTTATGGAAATTTGGAAAAGTATAAACGGGATTCACCATTTCAGAACAAGCCAACATTTTTATGAAGAATGCATTTTTCTAAAGATGTCAGTAATAAAAAACTTTTCCTCTTGTAAAGGGCAATCCGGGGACATGCATAGCATTGCATTTAAAAAAGTATAACTTCAGTATGAAATTAAACTTGAATTATCCTGTATATTTATAACAAATATTTTTAAAATGGGTGCTACAAATGCCTGCATATTTTGTAAACTAGATGGAGTGAAAATATCCAATAGGAAGATCGATATTGAGATTTTTGAGAACACTGTACCACCTTGTATATTGAACATGGATATTTGCTTGACACTCAAGTGCCTAATCATTTTAGGAAACACTCTATACCCAGCTGCTGGTGGTTCAGATGATTGGGCCAAAGGAACAATGAAAATAAAATATGCATACACAATTGAATTAAGAGATAATGGCAGGTATGGTTTTGTCCTCCCCGCTAGCTACATACAACCTACAGCCAAAGAAGCACTAGCAGCAATTAGAGTAATTGCTGAAGCAGCCAATAAAGCTTAATACCTGTGTTAATACTATATTTAAATGTATTTATTTGTGGTGATACTCATATTTATTTACTTACTATGATATTATTTATTAAGTAATTCTAGATATAGCTTTTAATGTATAGGTAATTATAAAATCAATTTTCTATTTTACATCAAACTTGATAGAAGTTTTTCATTAAAAATATATTCATATTTTATCTATATATTTATGTTAAGAAAATATTATCAGACTTACTTATATTACAGCATACAAATGTATAAGTCAATTATTTTTCTATCTAGCAGTTTATATTAAACTTTTAAAAATATATTTTTTATATTATAAGTTTATATCAATTATTGTATGTCAATAAAGAATATTTAAATTATATGTCTCATTAAATTCAAATTTATAAACATATTAAATCCAATGCTAAATATTCTATGAAACTATTAAAAAACAGTAAAAACTTACCCTCATTGTCTGAATGTCATGTTTGAGAATATTATTATCTTCCTCTAAAGTTTGAATGATTCCATTTCGAAGACTGATCTCCTGATGCAAATGTTGCACTTCCTCATCAGAAGAATTCATCCCATTTTTTTCATTTTCCTGTTGATTTTTAATGCTACTTGAGCTACCAAGTATTGGAGCCTGACTCACTATTTCATTATCATCTTGATTTCTTTTTTGAACTATAGCTATATCCTGATCATTTACTAAATATTTAGGAGATACAGGTACATGCACTGGTAAAGATGGCGATAGTTTATAAGAATTTTTTACTAAACTGATAGACTTTGCACTCCTTGATGATGGTGTATCTAAAGAGTTTTGGTAATCTCTTGGAGAATCTGGTAGCTTTAACTGACTTTCATCAACTTTACCTGACTCCTGCCCTGAATGCTCAAGTTTTGATGATTCCTTAGATGACTGTTCTAAAAACATTAAATACCTGTGTTAAGAAGTTTTTTTGAACTTTTTCTATAAAGTGCAAAATTATTTAACAAGTTATATGTTCTAAGAAACTACCTGATTCTATTTTGCTTTCCTGTGAAAAATCTTCACTATATGAACTGTAATCACTTTTACCATCCGAATCAATTGGCAATGGACTAATACTTTTAGGAGTCGGAGTGGAAGCCTTAGAATTTGTAGACATCAGATCTGATATATTCTGTGAAGTTTTAGATCTCTGACTCAGTTGTTCAAAACTTTTTGAACTTTCCATATAAATTTTCTCTGCTTCTCTCATTATATCGTCGATACTACGTTCGCCGACACTTCTCTCAAAAGGACCGAGAGGACTTTGTGCGGCAACACGATTTATTTCTTCAATTATACTACCAACATCAATATCTTCTTTTTCGTTTGATTGAGCTTCTTTTCTCAGAAAATCACTTAAAATGTCCGATGAATGAAGACTTTGGAGATCAAGCTTGGGTACAATCAAGGATTCTTTTGGCGAGTCATTGCTACTCTTTTGTGGTGTTTTTATCCACCAAAATTTATTTGTTTCCATTTTCCTATTGATTAACTTAGGTGCGAGGAAACACCCTCAATTTACTAAAGTGTAAAATATAATTAGTTTTATCGAATAAACAAACTTTAATTTTTTATTTAAAAACTGACAGCTGTTTAATTACTTTTCTATATGGACCAATATGGACCACAGATCAAACGGCAAAAGTTTAATTTTGACCATAAATCATAAGCATCAAATAGATACAAATATATTTTATATGTTTACACTGTGTTTACATGATTGCACAAAACTTTTTTAAATTATTAACAGGTTGATTGCTACGTATAATAACGGTATACCAAAATTCTTCAGACGCCAAGTACAAACCAACTTTTAAAATGACTTTTTAAAACAATTAAACTCGTATATTAGGTATTCTTAGATATACGCGAGAGTTGTATGCAGGGTTCGGAAAACTACATGTTACTTTTAAAAACTACATAAACTACATTACATGTAGTTAATGTAGTTTATGTAGAGGGTGTAGTTTATGTAACCTATGTATGTAACTTTCAAATATCAAAGGTTTGAGGTGAGGTTATAAGAAGTTGAAGCTTTAAAAACACATAATGTATTTAAGAAAACGGAAGAAATATGGCTTTAAATATAATATTTTCATCATATTATCTCTATTGCACCTCATACAAAGGAAAATTATTCATAATATCAATACATAGTTTATTAACGTAGTTTTCATGTAGTTAATGAACTGGAAAAGACGTAGTTTTGAAGAAAAACTACACGTAGTTAATCAGGTAAATTACGTCTTAATTAACTACTTCCGAACCCTGGTTGTATGTTGTATGTCACAGCCACAGCGGTCATATCTAATACATTCTAAACAGCAGATAATAAATTTGTAAGTTAAAAGAATGTGTAGAATAAAATTACCACACATTTTCTTTCTTTTTTACAAATTCAGTTCCTTTAACAGACGCCTGGATTTTGCAGTTGTTTTCTAAGGAGGCAACCAATAAAACTTCTTTTTTGCTGCTTCATTATAATCCAGGCTTGTCAATGGTCTCTAATCTTTGACATCTGTCAGTTTTGTCAGTTGTCAGTTGTCACTGTCACCCATATCCCATATTTACAAAATCTGTTTGATAAATGGGAAATTTTGTTTTTAAAGTTGCTTTTTATCTGTTTTTATTAAACTTTGCGTGAAAATGAGTACAGCTACAACCAGCTTTGCCGAACAACAAAAAGAACGGATGAAGAAACTCCGTGAACTTCACAGATTGAGAAACGAAGCGAGAACACATAACCATCAGGAAGTTATTGCGGAAGATGCAAGAAATAAGATGCCTCAGAATTGGGAGGCTCGAAAGCGTAGAGCGGAGTGGATTTTAAACGATCAAAAAGATCGCGAAGAAGCCAGTCAAAAGGGTTAGTAATAAATTAAAATTGAAAATGTTTCAGCATTTTAAAATAATTCTGTTTATATTTGAAGGTGAAGATTATGATCGATTAAAATTGTTGAATGTAACTGCATTGGACGCAGATAGGTTAGAGAAGAAGAAAAAGAAAAAGAACCCTGACACTGGGTTTTCCGATTTTGAAGCTGCTACAGTTCGACAATATAATCGGTAAGCTGTTATACTTGTTACTTGTTTGCTGAATGATCTTTTGTGTAGTGATGTGTCAAGTTATTGGGTATACCAGTTATTGTATATTTAACATATATTTTAATAGGTTAGTCAAGACTATGGCTCCAAAAGATATGGAAAGATATGAGGAGCAAAAGGAGAAGTACGGAGATGCTTTTTATGCAGGTCCAAATACAATTGTTCACGGTTTACATGAAGATCGTCCAGAGGCTGTTGATAATTTGGTTAAAAGTGTTGAAGATCAAATTGCCAAAAGAAGCAAATATTCAAGAAGGAGAATGCATAACGATGATGCAGATATCGACTACATTAACGAGAGAAACTCCAAGTTTAATAAGAAACTGGATAGGTTTTATGGAGAACATACAGCAGAGATTAAACAAAATCTTGAAAGGGGAACCGCTGTTTAGACACACATTTTTATTCTTTGTTACTATTTTCTGTAAGTGTGATTTATAATATAATTTTATGCTTATTTATGAATTATTTTTTGCTTATTGCTTTATTGGCTAAGTCAAATTTCTTTATAAACATTAGTTACCAAAATACAGTGTGAACATATATGTATAACCTATAGTCTCTCCGGTAACAGAATATATTATTTTGACAGACAATTGTTACTCTCAGTTTCCAGTGTCATAATATAGTTTTGTTGCTGGATAAGACTATATAGGGTGTTAAAAATTCGGGTTCGAGCATTGGTATCTCGGTAACCGTAATAGATACGAACATAGTTAAATTGGGGCAAAGTTCCGCTTTGGGATATTCACCAAGAGTTATCAATCGAAAGTTTTAAAAATTTCAAGGATTACTGAGTTTTTTGGAAAAAAAGATTTTTTTGAATATCAATTTTATTTTTTCCTGTCTTACTTTTTAGAAAATCAAAAAACTAATTGCACATTCTCATCGGCAGTTCAAATTGGCTGATAATTTGTGAGATACAGAGGCCAACTTCATTTTTTTAAAATTCAAAGAAGGCGTCCATTCTTCTCAAAGAGTCCTGGTTCAAATTAAAAAAGAAGTAGAAAAAAGGCTCAAAGTCTCTGTCTCAACATTTATATAATGTTAAACAGTGACACGTGTTTTGCTCATACGAGCGTCATCAGACAAATACAATTAAAAAAAATTGTGTTTTAATATGTAAAATGTGAACATATGTGAGCGAAACACTTGTCACTGTTTAACATTATATAAACGTTGAAATGGAGACTTTGAGTCTTTTTTCTTCTTCTTTTTTAATTTTTTTAAATACGGACCTATGTACATTTTTTATTTCAGGTTTTGAAAAACTCGGTCTCCTGAGAATTACCCTGAACTAAATTAAGAAAATGCCCATAAAACTCTAAATTATAAAAATTTATAATTACTATAAATGAAATAAATTAGCTTAATTCATATCAATTTTTTACTTCTTTCTTTAATTATTGTATTCGAAATTTATTAATGGTAAATTATGATGAAGAAATACAAGTTTTTCTGTATTAGAAAAAAAAAAAAAAAAAAACATCTGTTTTTCTTGTCTTCATATGCTTCCCAATCTTCATATAAGTTTCTGAAAAAAGTCGTTCACTATACCGGGTGTTTTTCAAAAGTGGCTCACCCCTATAACTTTTTTAGTTTTTCAGGTAAAAAACGAAATTAGGTATGTTAGTATATGACATAAATGAGGATTATGTCAATTAGATTGTGTCATATCCTGTTTCACCGAAAATGACTACAATAGGGAATGCAATCCCGCAAATGCGGGATCCCTCTGTGATTCCGCGGGATCCCTCTGTGATTCCGCGGGATCCCTCTGTGATTCCGCGGGATCGAATTTGCGGGATTTACCGTGCGGGATCTGCGGGATCGACACCAGGGGATTCCCCTTACGGCTTGGCCATTAAAAATAAGTGAAACAAACAGGTTAGTTGTTAGATTTCTTTCTGGCGTGCGTAAGTGAAGAAAAGCGTTTAACTAGTACCTACTTGTGGACAATTTCGTCAAATAAACTGCCGGACATAATTATCGGGACAAGCAAAGTTTTGGGGTAAATTTAAAGTTGAATATCTCTTGAACTAAAAAAGATTTTGGGATGCGGTTTGGACCAGGTTTTAGATGCATATATTGTGATTAAGATACTATGTGGTTTTCGAAAAAATATTTAGCGAATTCTCGTATACAGGGTGTTTTATAAGAGTGTGAAAATTTGGTCAAGAATCTTTTTTACCGCAAATTTACAATTTTTAAAAAATCGAAATTTTTACCAAGTACGACTAATCTGTATTGAAATTAGAAAAAACAATTTGATCGGGTTTTTATTTATTTTTTGTTTTAAGAAAAATACGATGTTTTTTCGGAAAATATGCATTTTTAGTCATACGATGGTCCTAATTGGTAGAAATAGCTTTGTACATTTTGCATATGCCAAAAAAATATTAATATAGAGTGTATCTAAAAGCAGATAACTAACACAAGTTGAAAAAAATCTTCAACATCAGAATAATATTTTTATTTATAAAATAAGTAGATAAATTATAATCAAATTTAAGTTTATTTAATATTAAATATATTTTTTTAACACCCTGTATACATCGGTCCAAATTTCTGTACAGCTAGAAAATACACGCTATATCAATTATATTGTGGGCCTATGCAAAATGTACAATGCCTTTTATACCATTTAGGACCAAATGTATTATTTAGGACTATAAATGCATATTTTTCGAAAAAAACTCGTATTTATCTTAAAACAAAAAACTAAAAAAAAACACCAAATTGTTTTTTCTAATTTCAATACAGATTAGTCGTACATAGTTAAAATTTCGATTCTTCAAAAATTGTAAATTTTCGGTAAAAAAAATTCTTGATCAAATTTGTACACCCTGTATACGAGAATTCGCTAAATATATTTTCGAAAACCACATAGCATCTTAATCACAATAGATGCGTCTAAAACCTGGTCCAAACCGCATCCCAAAATCAAAGAGAGAAAAGAAGAGCATTTATTGTTTACAATCCCGCAATTTTGCGGATCCGCGGGATTGATTGCTTTAATCCCGCGGGTTTGCGGGATTGAGATTTTGGTGCGGGATTACATTCCCTAGACTACAACTTATGATTTTTAAATGGTACCTTCAGTATTTTTTTACTTTATTTGATAGAAAATGGTTATTCAGAATAGAATGACATATATGTCAATTTTTGTCATTTTCGCTTAAAAATATACCGTATGATATAAAAAACGGCCTCCAGTTGGCTTGGAAATGAACATCGAAATAATATTATATAGTTATAACCCCATATAATTTTACATATAAAATGACAGCGATCTTTATTTTATAGCCATCGTTGACGCCCTTTTTTCGATCATGCGGTAGTATTTTAATTATTATTATCGTGACTCGAAATACCAAGTATGTGGTACGAAATTATTCTTAAAAAATGTTTTTTCCAAATATGTTAATAAGCCCGCCCTCGTTCCATTTGAAAAAAATTGAGTTATGATTAAAAATACGATTTGGGTATCTAGTAGAATATATAAAAGACACAAAAAAAACATTAGATGATCAAACATATTTCCATACGGGAGATACTTTTCCACGATTCGTATCCACTGTGACAAATAACTGAAATGCTGGTCAATTACTTTATTATCTTTGTCTGAGCCCCCCTCTTGGATTGTACACCTCGCCACTATTATCCTCGGTTGAATAGTTGACTATTCGGTAATTGGCACATTAGATCCGCCGAATATTGGGTATTCGGCTATTCGGCAAATCTAGCTCGGCAATGCTATTCTGTGCATCTCTACTTTAAAGTTGTACTTGAAATTAATCTGATTTATTCACATTTGTAATTTGTACACAATATTTGCCCGAAAAGAACTACGTAATATTTTCCGAAACCTCCTTCCTCCTCACGTGACATTTAGTGAGATTCGACTTGACCCCTTCCATGATCTCCTCACTCAATTAATGGACTTTCCCTAATTCCCCTGTAAAAAGGTTCATTATACTGGGTGCGTCTCGAAAGTGTCTTACCCCGATAACTTTTTTTTTCAGATAAAAAAACGAGATTTGGTATGATAGTATATGACATAAATTACGATTGATTGACGTAACCAATTACTTTTGGTTACTTCCTGTTTCACCGGAAATGACTACAACTTTTGATTTTTAAATAACGCCCTCGGTATATTTCTACTTTATTCGATAGAAAATGACACTCTGAATAGAATGATGTATCATATGTCAACTTTTGACACTTTTGTTTACAAAAATCGTATTTTATATTTCAATCTAGAGTGTCATGGCTGTGTTAAAACGACTAATGTTTAATCAAGGAGCATTTGAAAAATAGTTTTGATCGTCTAATGTTTTTCGTGTCTTGTCCTGGCCGGATAAAAGATGCCCAAATCATATTTCTAATCATATCTCAATTTTTTCAAATGTAACGAGGATGGCTCAACATCATAATATTTGGAAAATGCATTTTTACGAATAATTTGGTACCACACACTTGGTATTTCGAGTCAAATTGTCGTTTTATGAAGTTTAATTATGAACCGCATGTTACAATTTCAAATAAACCATATGTAAAAATGTCAAAAGTTGCCTTATGATAAATATGTTATTCTATTCAGAGTGTCATTATCTTTATCTATCAAATAAAGTAGAAATATACCGAGGGTGTCATTTAAAAATCAAAAGTTGTAGTCATTTCCGGTGAAACAGGAAGTGACCAAAAGGCAAAAACAATTGAATACTAATTAATTTATGTCATATACTAACATATCAAATCTCGTTTTTTTATCTGAAAAAATAAAAAAGTTATAGGGGGTGAGCCACTTGTGAGACGCACCCGGTATATATTTTTTTTACTTGTTAAACTCAAAAGCTTGGATGACTCCATTTGTAACCTGGAATGGAAATCTTTTAATGGTTTAGCATTCTGAAGAAATTTTTCAGAACTTACGGGCAAGAAAAATCAAAGGTTTTTCTTGGTTTAAGTAAAAACATAATCTTCGTATTGTTACGGTTTTTTTAACAGGGCACTGTCTCTTCAATCAATACCTCAGTATATTGAAGCTAAGAAACAAAGGCGAATGCAGAGTCTGTGGGGAAAATGGGGAAACACCAGAATACTTCATTACTAAGTGATTGAACCATTCGTGCCATAAACTGTGGTACGACTGATATCGGAGATGGAGAACTAACCTCTGTAAAATCGTCTTAGATACTGGCTTTTGTCAAAGTCCTTAGACTGTATGACTGATGATTAATATTTTAGAAAGGAGGACATAAGATCTAATAGGTCGCGGTGATTAACATTCCCCCTCCTACACAATCTACATCTACATTCCTCTACTCGCCAACCTAAATATAAATCAAACCAAAAATATTTACTATCAAAATAAGCTTTTATTGAAAATAAATAAATAATAATACAATATTTACATTTAATACACTTAAAATGAAAAAGAAACCGCTATGTTACAA